TTCACGATTTCATCGAACAATGAATGATGAATTCTTTCGCATCATTTTTATACTCTCGCAACTTGTTGCTACAGAGTATAATAGTTTAGGTAAACAAAACGGTTGTTTGTATCACCTAAAACTAATCGAGTTAGATATAGGGTTATGTATATATAAATGATCAGGATGAAGAGACGAGTTGAAATCCGGGTGACTGTCTGTCTGTCCGCCCGTGCAAGCTCTAACTTGAGTAAAAATTGAGATATCTTTATGAAACTTAGTAGACATGTTTCCTAGTACTGTGAGACGGTTGGTATTGCAGATGGGCGTAATCGGACCACTGCCACTCCCACAAAAAGCCATTAATCAAAAACAAATAAATTGCCATAACTAAGCTCCGCAATAAGATACAAGACTGTTATTTGGTACACAGGATCACATTAGGGAGCGGCATCTGCAGTTAAAATTATTTTTTAAAAGTGGGCGTGGTCCCACGCCTAATAGGCTTAATGTGCATATCTCCTAAACCGCTAAAGCTATAATAACCAAATTCACTGGGAGCAAATGTTTTTAGAACCTCTACCTACAGTGTAAAAATAGTTGAAATCAGGTGGCAACTCCGCCCACTCCCCATATAACGGTACTGTTAAAAACTACTAAAGCGCGATAAATCAAGCACGACATTAGACATTAAATTTTATCTCTGGGATGGTATGAGATGACTTTATAGGAACCGCGTTCATAATTATACAGTGGGCGTGGCACCGCCCACTTTTAGGTGAAAACCCATATCTTGGGATCTACTGAACCGATTTCAACCATATTCGGTGCATAACGTTATTTTCATATTTCTATGTTATAGTGCGAAAATGGGCGAAATCGGACTACAACCACGCCTATTTCTCATATAACACCATTTTCAATTCAATCTGTTTCTTTCACTTTCCACTATGCATATCAAGCAATAATGATTGTATCGGGGTAAAACTTTGCGTGAATAATACATTTAAAGTATTCCACCTTGTGACTAAAAATTGTCTAAATCGAACCAAATCTGTTCAAGCCCCTAAGTACTAAATATGTGGACCCAGTGCCTATAGTTGACCTTCTACCGAAAATATCAGTCAATCCACAAAGAAATCTCAAACGAGTATACCACTTGACTTTGCGAGAGTATAAAATGGTCGGTTACATCCGAACTTAGCCCTTGCTTACTTGTTTAATATAAAGTTTTGCCAACACTGAAGGCATTTCTCCGGATTTGATCCTTGCAAGTTGTAAGAGTATAAAATATTCGGTTGCTCCCGAAATTAGCCCTTCCTTACTTGTTTTATTTTATGTTGTCCATTTGCAATCAAAATTACTGTTAGTTTATTTAACATGACAAGTGTGGGCATACATATCATCCGCAAAAGACAGCATTTGATATATTGTGGGCAACCGACCACATTTTTGAATTACATACTTGTATTATATTATATGTTGTTGAAACAGTTAACTTATGGAGAAATGAAGTAACACTTTTTACCCACGGTTACGAAATTCTGAGTTTTGTAAGATTTCGTCTTAATCTAGTCAAAGGCAAGAATAGTGAACAATATTATGGCTTAAAAGTTTCTATAAATTATTCTGTTAAAATAACATAAAGGACCTTCAACCCAATTTCCATGCCCCTCCATATCCCACAGTTTACATGATTCCCATTACGAAATACGGGAAATTCAATGAATTTCCTATCTTTCTATTTATTATTTTTATATTGTTTGGAGTGTAATGAGTGCGAAAAATGGTTCGTTTATAACTATTATGAAAATTTGATAGTTCGTTTAATTTATGGCGTTGCTAGTCTCATCTTTTCCACTATTATACTTGAGAGAAACTACACGGGTAACGATGATACATTCGTATCATTAAAATTGTCAAGTATATTTTATCATAATCGTACGATACGGAAAATGCACGTGTGTGGCACACATAGAATCGAAGGGATGGTCCAAGGGTGGAACTAGTTTGCGTATATACAGTCAGACAGACGGAGATGGACATGGGTAAATTAACTCACCTTGGTAGGCTGATTATTTACATATACAATTTATTAGTGTGTCTGACGTTTCCTTCTGGTTATTACAAACTTCTTGGCAAACTTAATATACCCTGTTCAGGGTATGAAAAGAAAATATCTCGGATTGTCATTCCAATCGATGTTGATATTGACTTAAAGTTTTGACGATTGTCAGTACCCTAATTAAGATTACAACATCAGCTTATAAATTTACTTCAGTTTGAACATACCACTTAATAAATTAGTGATCTTTACGATACCAGTTATATGTGATCTTGCTGTAAGATTCTTTAAGTATGTAACTTCATTTAATAAAACTTTCCATACTAATTGTAACGTCGCCCAGTGTAATTAAAGCAAAAATTCTTTTTTGCGCTTTTTTGCAGTGTTTTGACATTTTATGTCTCACTTAATTTTTACATTCATATAGTAGAAACAAACTTAAGTGTTATGTTAATTTGTGCACATTATTTCTTATTACATCACGTTTACGACTGATAATTTAAAAAAATATGTTTATTTATATTATGTGGCAAGCCCTTAATGCTTGTAACTAATGAAATAGGAGTAGATTGCATGCGAAACAAAGAAAATGTGTAAATACGTTGCCTTTTAATTAAAATATATTATATATATATATATTGTATAAGTATTTTTACAAAAATGCAGTGACTGTCAACTTCTGGTTGTAACTTAATAAATCTTCTTCACTTATAAATATTCATACACGATTGTGCAACTTTACGAACAACATGTGCAGTTAGCTACAAATTGCTGTGCTTGGCATATATATATTTATGCTAATACTATTTGAAGACATTTAAAAAGCATAAACAAAGCATATTTCTTGAGCAAATTAACCACTATTTACTATTTTGAATTAATGAATGCGAATGAGACACCACACCAAGCAGTTTATAATTGCATAATCATTAAGTTTTTTAGAAAGAAAGATTACGTAGAATAGTAACCATAAGCTTGGGTTTCACTCATAGGAATGCCTTATTATGAACTTTCTTTTATAGAATAATTCGCGGACACAATTGTAGACCTTAATCAGCTTTCACAAATTTACGGTTCTTAAGCTTCTTTTTCACCTCGTTTAGTCATTGTACTGACGTCACGAAATTCGTTGCTGCGGTTTGAAATATTATTCTTTCCACCTCTTTGAAAACCTACATACTTGTATAATATTATATATAAACATATAACCGCTCAGTCTATAAATTCACAAGCTAAATCTAGGTTAATGTTCGCTTAAGTGTCTGTTTAGTGCCAGAAAGGTAGATCAAATAAATTTGAGCTGTTTTGTGTTGTTCCCAAAACGTGTTCTGTTTAATAAAAATCAGCTTATGCTTATAAAATTCGGGAATTGAAAATGTCTCTCGTGAATCTCAAAAATTCAACTCATGCCAGTTTATTAAAGTATATTGGAATTACAAGGCGAACCTTTTAAAGGTGAGAGCTATGTTTTAAAAATAATCAATAATATATGCGTTAAGCATTACTACCTCCACTGGGTCAAGCCAAATAATTGCAATATATAGAGAACTTTTGCAATTCTTAGAGTAATATAAAAAGCTTTTGATTGCGAGGACGTGTAAGGATTTGTCGTATCCGAGTGAACACTACCAATCATTTAATGGAGGATTAAAATCACGGTTGTCATCAAAATTTAATATTGTAGAAAATCATGTTTAGGTATTTATCGTCTCTCAACAGACATAGAGGATCACCAAGAAAAAATGAGCACAAAATCAATCAGTGAAATAGACTTAAAAGTTGCAGAACTAAAAAAATACACAAAAGCATAAGTAAATTTGGAATGTCATGAAGAGACTATCTATTTTGAGCCATCACCAAATGAGTAATATTGATTATATTATCTGTTGTAAGTAGCTATTGTTAGTATCTGATGAAGTCGAAGTTATCAACTGAACAACTCTAAATTTTTTCCTTTTTTCATTCAAGTCAGCCGAAAAATCTCGTCTCATTGAATAAAATAGTCAGAACCCTCGCCGACTATCGCTAACATACAAGTATATGCTACAGTGGTTCGATATTGGCGGTTCCGACAAAGAAATAGCTTCATAGGGAGAAACGGACGTGTGCAAAATTTCAGATCAATAGTTCAAAAACTTAGGCACTAGTTTACGTATATACAGACAAACGGACACGGCTAAATCAACTCAGTTCGTCACGATGATCAATTTTATTTATATATGTATATACTTTCTAAGGTCTTCGATGTTTCTTTCTAAGTGTTACAAACTACGTGGCAATATTCAGAGTATAAAAAGGTAGACGTTAAAGTATTTTATGTTATAAAGGCACAGCAATCAGAGTTAAATATGTGAAATATGTGTTGAAAATTTATTGATCAGCGCACACCATTCGCTCTAAGCGAAACTAATTTAACTATTTTCACGCAATGAATTACTTCCTTATTTTTTCACATTTTTATCAAAAGTTGGCATTTTGAATCAGAACTACAATTTATTTTTTAAGAGGATTCAATAATTTTGCAGCTCGATCGATTCAACAAATAATTAGGTATTTATTACTAAGAGTATATTTAATAAAGCTGAACGCAAAACCATGCAGAGCCAGAAAATTTAGAAAAATCAACGTTATTATTGTTAGGTATATACTTATAGAAGTTCTGGGATGTATTTTTTTTTATTAAAAGCAATCATACCGATATACACATGGTAATTAAGTGTTGATGTGTGTGTCATACTTGTATAAACATAACATATACTTAGCGCCATAGTTGCAAACAAAATAACTTTAATGAGCTATATGATACGCGTCCGCTGCCAATCGCAGCCGCAATCAAACGTCTGTTGAATAACGATGATTAGACCGTTGCGAACTAAACAATAACAACAACAAATGGTTAATAGTATTAACCGCATCTTTGCTTTATTCAAATGATGCTGACCACAGTCACCCACCGCTGCCAGCCGTCAGCTGTTGGCGAATTAATCTTACTAAAAATACTATAAAATCCATGAATCTCCATCAGTCGCGTTTTATTTGCGGCTTAGAACGGTACGAAATTTAGAATTGTGAATGTATTGAAAATAATTTTAAGAAAAGTTTAAAACATTTTTTACGAAAATGTTTCATAAACTTTTGTTACGCGCGTACTTAACGCTACTAATTGCAGAGTTGTCGCTGGTAAAATTAGCAGTGGCGGACACAGCACTGACAACCACAGAGGAAACAGCAGCAACAACAAAAGCAATAACCATACCAGCGACAACAATTGCTAGTGTAGAGTTACATAGTCGACTTACAACCGAATCACCTACAAATCCCAATACTGCCACAAGCCAATCCAGCGCTGACAGTAATACCACAAACACCAGCGGCACTTACACAACCAACAACAATATTCCAAATGCGCCTACAAACGTCACAGCAGGATCTGATGACATATCCAGCAACATCTATTGCATGCCATCACTTTGTGAGCTCTACAATGGCAGTCATGTGTTGCAAGTGCCTCATATAGGCTGCAATAACGGTGGCGCTTTTGCGCCCGCTTGTGGCGCCGAACCGCATTTGTTGTATATGAGCCAACGGCGGCGCCAGTTTATTTTGGATATGCATAATCTCGCCCGTGAGCGAATTGCCTCCGGCCAGCTGGAGGGTTATCGCTCCGCCGCGCATATGCCAATGCTCAAGTGGGACGATGAACTTGAATATATGGCTTCGTTGCATGTGAAGCGCTGTCAATTTGCGCACGATCAGTGTCGCAATACGCCGCGTTATCAGTTCAGCGGTCAGAATATTGGTTACTTTTGGATTGGTCGTGAATTTAAATCGCATGCGAAGCGTTTTAAATCATTTATTTTGGATTGGTTTCGGGAGTATCGACTTGCTAATCAATCATTCGTTGATCAATACAGACCCCATCCGGAAGGGTGAGTATCATTGTGCGATGAGTTACCGATTAGAGTTAAGATGTTTGAAAAGTGGACTAAGTAAAAAAGAACTTTATTACCATACTCGGAAGTATTTTTGAAAAGGTTCTTTAAACTGCTAATTTACAGTCAAATATTAGTGTCATGTTAAGCTTGAGCTGCGTTTCTGTATCTTTCATAATATGTATAACCTAAAACCAGAATCATTTTGATCACCTAACGCCTTACTTTGAGTTCGACACCCAATTGATCGAACGCACAGTCATATTGTTTCACCATGTTCAAGGTAACCGATAAAAATAATTGCATGTGCATCCCCGAAAAAATACCTGCTAAAATCTTGTCATCCGAGTGTTGCTTTTTTTCAAACGCTTTGGACGCCTTTTATCGAACAACAAGGGAATGCCGGTCAGACGTGTAATGCTGTATCCATGTTTGATCCATTATCACATATCGACGCAGCAACTCGTTCTCATTGCGTTTGATGAGTGACAGATTGTCAAAAACTCGGCAAACATGGCTCGCAGTACTTTTTTATTTGTAAAAAAAATCGTTTCTTATTAACAGACTAGACATGAAATCTACTATTTTTCCTTTGTAACAAAAAAACAGAGATAGTGGCACCTTGAAATATCATAACACTATATTATATTACTACAATATTCTAGTCAGGGTTTCTGCTAAAAAGATAGAAGTAAGTGGTAATAGACAATTTTCCCATATAGTGTATCAGAAAGACAATGCATTTTGACTATTCGAAGTATTATGGAAGTCTTGTCTGTTGTAATTTTTTTGGGCAGCCTCATACCAAATAAGTAAGCCATCAGTGATTCGATGCAAGAATCCAAATTTATCTCTTTGGAATATTTTATCTCTTTTCCAATACTCTGTCGATTTTTACTGTCTATACTTCTAGAATACTGTACCTATATAATATAGCAATTAATTTCTAATAACTTATTTATCAGCAAAAAAATTGGTCACTTCACCATGCTGGTAGCTGATCGTGCGCATCGTGTTGGCTGTGCCGCTATACGTTATCGCGATCCCAGTGATATTAACTATATGAAATTGCTGATGACATGCAATTATGATTTTACAAATATACTAGGAGAACCCGTCTATCAGAGTGGTCTTGCAGCGAGCAAATGTATATATAAGATAAGCGAGAAATATCACTCGTTGTGTGACTGGAAGGATGCTGTCTACGATTATAGCAGCGAGGAGAGTATAGAGGAAGACAATGGCAATGAGCTGGATAGCAACTTTATAAACTAAATTTAACTGTTTTTACTTTTTGCTTATTTTTGTACATACAATCATGTTTAAGTTGAAATTAAATTATACGAATTTATAGTTTTAGATATAATGTTACAGTGAATCAGTATCAATTTATTGTGCTTCTTTTTTGTAAAAATTCGCGATTCCATTTTGCTTTGTCGTTGTAATGGTTGTCCAAATTCTGTTTTAAAATGAGGATGAGTGTTGTTATTGGTAGTCCAGAAAACCAATACTGAGTTTTTCCCCAAGGAATAGGATGTGAGATAAATAAGTTTTAACGTGTCTTTATAAAGTCTTCTTACGTGCTGGACCAATACTTTTTATGTCAGTAGTTAGTCTGGATTAGTAGCAATTCAACTGATGTCTTAAGCTCACTTATGCAACACGCGAACAAGCACTTTTCCAACATCTCATACAGTGAAGATTAGCTTTGGGTATAATTAACTTATATTTTGTCTTAGGAATAGTGAATAAGTCTTCTTTGTTTTACTCAACATTTTTTGTCATATTAAGGTTTAGTAAGCAAAACTTTATTGCTCTAATTGGGAAAAGTATCATAAACTTAGAGTTATTAATGAAGCCCAATAATACTCGTATAATGTTGCTTCACTAATACATTTTTTACAGGAAATATACGAAGACATGATTCTTATACCAAAGCAGTATAAGCATAAGCAAGTACCATGTAAAGCTTACAGCATAAAGTAAAATTAATTCTTTTGCATTATTTTGTTTTAGAATACCATAATAGAGACCTATCAAATGTTGTCCATCAATCAGATTTCTGAACTTTACTCTACTAAAATTATGACAGATATATGCAGACTGTTCTACATAGTGTTTTTACATATGTTTTAGACATGTGCTTTTTAAAAATAAGAGCTTGTCATTATATTTCAAAAATGATTTTAGGCAAATGTCCGCCGCGTCTGGCGTGTATAAATTCTAGCTGTGACGATATTGTCTTATCCGAAGAGCTAGAAGATTCTTCGACTGTTGTGCTTTCTTCGGTTGTTGATGACGATATTGTACCAGCTAAAGAGCTAGAAGATTCATCGCCTATTTCGTTTTCTTCAGTTGTTGAAAAAGATATTTTACCAGCCGCGTCTGGCTCGTATAAATTCTAGCCGTGAGGCCCAATTTTCGACCACTTTTTGCAGCAATTGCGGCCGTATGTCAACAATAACTCTCCGAAAATTCTCTTCCAAAGCGCCAATGGGTTCGGGCTCATCTGTGTAGACAAGAGACAATCCCTTAATCCCACAAAAAATAGTCAAGCGGTGTTAAATCGCACGATCTTGGAGACCAAGTCACAGACCCACGACGTGAAATAATGCGCTCACCAGAGGTTCCCTAAAGAAATTTATGGTTTCGTTGGCTGTATTGCATGCAACACCGTCTTGTTGGAAGCAAAGATCGTCCACATCAACATCATCCAATTCATTCCCCATTCACTGTAACATAATAGCCGGCTTCATTTTTGAAGAAATATGGACCAATGATTCTCTGTCCATAGAGCACACCAAACAGCTTTCTTGAAGATGTAGCGGCGTCTCAACAATGTCTCTTGGATCATCACTCCAATTGCCACAATTTGGTTTTTTAAGCTACACATTCATGCGAAAGTGAGCTGAACAAAATTTTCTTATTAAAATTAGCTGTGCGATGACCATCTCGTTTTGTATCCTTTCACCGAACGTGCAACGAGTTTGATTGGATTTTTGGATTGGAAATTTTCCATAAAGGGGATGGGTACAGCTCCAATTGTTGCGCGCGATGGAGGATGGACTCATTCAGGTGTTCTTCGATACTCTGCTCTACAGCAGCAAAGTCGTCTTTGAGGATGCGCATTATCCGCAAGAGTAAACGTTCATTATTTTGGTAATAAATTTGCATGATTTGCAAACGATGTTCCGGAGTATTCTATTTATTTTGAAATGGTAAACCAAACTAAGTATGTCAAAAAGACCCAATCCGAAAAAAGTATTGCCACATTAAAAATATGCTATGTTACGACTACAGACTGTACAGGACATTTCAAACTTAGTTGTTCCGTTATAAAAAGTCCCTAACCTTGCACAAACACCCATCGTATTTCTCAAGTTAGTTAGACAAGTTTCTAAAAAGATAAAACTACTGTAGCTAAGTTATAAATGTACCTCAAACAGCCCGTTTTTTTACTAGGAATAATATTTATATTGATTAAATAGAACTTGACTGATAAAACCAAGTACAGTCAGACTAATTTATCTATGAAATGTGTCATAATCCAATCAACCAGACCAACTGAACTTCTGCTCATTGCAATCCAATTGAATGTGATAAGCTTCAAAGCACTCAATAAGCAAGTCTCTTTATTGAAGATGTTTAATTAAACGTACAAGCTAAGACCCAAAACAACATTTATTTGTACCATTTATCCAAAAATATGAAATTGTTTAACTTTGCACACTTTCGCTTTTTACACACCTTTAATGAAGACCCACAAAATTTACTTATACTATGTATAAAATGTGCAATAGTCACAAACCTTATTTATATCTCGTAAAAGCTATGAAGCAATAAATTAGTATTTTGTAATTTTATTCTGATAATAAATGTTTATAATTATGCATCAAGATAATTAAACTTTATTAATTTAATTATATATTGTTCAAACCTTTTGTAACGACCGATAAAAGTTGATCAGTGAAGCAAAAGATAGCTGTGACGATCCAAAAATTCTAGGAAAAACGAAAATAAAAACTTATAACAACAAACGAATACTGAAATAATTGCTACAGATAAAATGTGAAGATGTGTCAATTTGAACCTGAAAGTTTGTATATTCATTTAAAGAGGGGGCCTGCGCTATGTATATATACCATATATACAGTCAACCCTCCTATAACGCGGTGAGTGCATACCGCGTTATATGGAAACCGCGCTATAAGAAACTCGGATTTATCCGTATAAACCAGGAAAATTCGTAGCTCGTTCTATGGAAACCGTCTACCGCTTTGTAAATGATCAGTTTCAATGAAATGGAGTTCAAATTCTTTAGCCAAATTTAGACCTTTTTTCACATCTTGTAAATCGACATTTGTCACCCATTCGTATTTCTTATTTACGTTTACTAATAGATTTGAGGTGGGTGCATCAATTAAATCCATAGGTTCATCCTCATCTAAAGTTTCTTCCCCGAGTACGAGTTCTATTACATCCTAATGGCTTGTTGTAAATTCTTCATCGCTTAAACGAGAAGCAATGATTACTATTTCTGTAACTGGGAGTGAAATTGTAGAATCATCTTGTATTGCTTGAACCATTCCAGGTAAAAGGGGTTTCCAACACACATTAAACGTTGATGGTTTAATTTCCGCGCAAGCCGATGACACGGTTCTAATACAATCTAAAATAGAAAATGTCATCCAAACTTGAGTAAGGGTTTTATTTTCACTACATTTTAATCTGTCGAAAATGGTTTGGAAAACTTGGCGTGTGTAATACATTTTTAAAGTTTGAATGACTCCTTGGTCCAAAGGTTATATTAATGACGTGCAGTTAGGAGGAAGGTAGACAATTTTTACATGTGGATGATCCAGTTGTTTGCTGTGGCAACCAGGGTTATAAAGAACCAATAAAACTTTGAAATACAATTTTTTTTCCATCGTATATAAAACCAATCCTTTATAAATTAAACAAGCACAAATTAAACAGCAAATGCTGAACGAACAGACGGTGCAGAAAAAATTTTAGAAAGACTTGGTCACCAACAAAACGTGTGCACTGTGAAAGGGCTCTAAAAAGACTAAACTGATGTCGCTATGAGATAAGCTGGAGATAATGTTTATGTAAAAATATCTAGTTACTATGTCGCGATCCCACTGCCTGGACCTACATGGCGGCATCTGTTCCCTTATAATTCAAAACATTCATAATTTAAACATTCTTAGCCTACGCGGAAGGAACTTATGGGATGCTGTTGACGGAAACCTTGTTCTGAGAGTCCCGCGTTATAGAATGGCTGTCGCATTTTCAGCTCCGCGTTATATGGAAACCACGTTCTGGGAGTACCGCGTTATAGGAGGGTTGACTGTATTCGAAAGCCCGAAGCGGTTTTGTAAATTTCAGTGCGTGTTTCGCAAACAAAGTGAAATATTGAATTGTTTTAAGATAACTGCTAATAAAAATAAAGGGAAAATACCGCTGTTATCTATTTGCTAGTAGGGTTACGAATACTAATTGTATATAAAGCACTCACTACATTTGGCACCAACCAAATCAATTCGCGTGTAAAATAAGGAGTTTGTGTAGACGGGAAAGTAAAATGCTATTAAAATACTTGGGAGTTTTGGCGCTACTCTGCGCGGCAGCTGTTGTCGACGCTGGCCTCAGTGATGTAGACTACTGTAGTCCGGCCTATATGTGCAGTGGACGTAGTCAAAAACATGTTTTGGCTTGCAATCATACCGGAGTAAGTATGGAAATTGAAAAAACCTAAAATTTCAGAATATTTATTGAAGATACATATTAATACCAAATCTCCACAGGCTTTCGATGCGCGCTGTCCACCGAATGCCGAAATGCTGCCAATGACTGAAGAGTTTAAAAAACTCTTCTTAGGTGAGCACAATAAATATCGTAACGAGATAGCGAAGGGTTTGACATTCGAGCCGGCTGCAGCCATGGCCACTTTGGAATGGGACGACGAGCTTGCCTATTTTGCCGAATTCAATGTAAAGCAATGTGGTATCATTTATGAGGATCAGAAATGTTTCACCACTGCTCGCTACAATACGCTCGATCAAAATATCGGTTGGCTCTTCAATATCAAATCGAAATTCAATCGTTCCAATATTTTCAATGAAATTAAAGAACATATAAGGGTTTATTGGTATGAGCAATATCACGATTGTACACAGACCGAAATCGATTCGTATCATCCACCACAATTGTAAGTAAATTAAAGAAATATATTTTGTAATAATATTTATTCTTATTTTTGACTATTTCTTTCCTATTCTCTTCAGAAAATTAATTTTACATTTTGGCAAAATGGTTATGGATCGCAATAATCGCGTTGGCTGTGCTGCTTCACTTTACGAAACTGAATATGGCATTAATGTGCTCTTCACTTGTAATTATGCCCGTCGCTTATTCTGCTATAAGCCCATATACCGTTCTGGCGCTTATCCAGGCTCCCACTGTAGAACTGGTATGAATCCACGTTATCCATTTTTGTGCTCGACGAAAGAGAATTTCAATCCAAATGATTATAAGGTGTAATTACTGAGGAAATGGAGCAAACTTAATTCTAGAATCGAACTAAACTAAAATAAAAAGTATTGCCAAGAATAAAAAAATATAGTATTTAAATCTAATTAAACTAACCAGGAACATAAATAATTTAGTACTTTATTTCTGGAGACACCATTATACTGGATAAAAAATAATTGTTCCGGAAAATATACTCCGAATTTAGTAATATTCAGTTCATCAGTAAGATTCATTCATTAGTATACTCATTTCCCATAGACACCACAACTTAGAGACCATCGACTATGGTATAATCTGACGGAATCGATGTTTGTGTATATTTAGGTCGGTTAGGGTTTTTTTTAGTATTTTAATGCCGATAAATCGCTTAACCTTCAAAACAGGTATGTTTTTGACGGCGATGTGGTCCACTCTATGAAGACGTCAATTAAGCCGATAACCGAAGAATTTTATATTTAGATACTTAACTTTAATAATCAAACAAAATAATTTAAATTTCAAATAATAACTAAAAAAATAAAAATGAACTACTGTTCACAAATATTAATATTGCGGCACATCAAAAAACCGAAAAATCTAAGATTGTAGTGGAAATAAGCCCGCTTATATGGTTCATCTGTATACTACTATTTTAGCACTGTCAAATGAACAAATATATCGCAATCTGTGCCATGCAACACTGACTTATAAGTAGCGCTAGACGAAAGAGTCGCAGTTGAAGTTCCTATAGAACTAGTAACCTCGGTTGTCCTTTCTATCCTTGATAATGCAGTAAAGCTCTCTTCCGTGTTAAAAACCACTCCCAGTGTAGCGTCGCTTTCATTTGTTTCTCTAGTAGTGCTGGTAATGTCATCTGCTAAGAGGCTGGCAGATTCATCCACAACTGTGCTCATCCAAGCTCTTGATGAAGAAATTGTGCCTTCTACAAATCTATCAGAAATTTCAAAAATTGAGCTTTCTTCAGTTTTAGCTCGACTCGTTGTTAAAAAATCGGCGGTTAAGCTAGTACTGTTATCTGCTAAAATAGTCGTCTTTTCAGCAGACATGGAAGAATCTTCAGCTACTCCACTACCATCCGAAGGGATAGAAGATTCGTCTGCAAATGTGATATCTTCAGCAGTTGATGAAGATGTTGTAATATCTGAAGAAGATTTGTCGACTAATGTGCTATCTTTGGTTGTTGATGACGATGTTGCGCCATCAGAAGTACTGGAAGATTCGTCGACTATTGTGTTTTCTTCGGTTGTTGACGACGATCTTGTAATATCTGAAGTGATAGAAAATTTATCGACTGTTGTGTTTTCTTCGGCTGCTGATGACGATATTATACCAGCTGAAGACCTAGAAGATTCTTCGACTATTTTGTCTTCTTCAGTTGTTGATGAAGATGTTGCACTATCTGAAGTACTGAAAGATTCGTCAAATATTGTGCTTTCTTCGGTTGTTGATGACGATATTATACCAGCTGAAGAGCTAAAAGATTTTTCGGCTATTTGGTTTTCTTCAATTGTTGATGAAGATGTTGCACCATCTGAAGTGCTGAAAGATTTGTCGAAAATTGTGCTTTCTTCGGTTGTTGATGACGGTATTGTACCATCCGATAAGCTAAAAGATTCTTCTACTTTTGTGCTTTCTTTTTTTGTTGATGACGATATTGTACCAGCTGAAGAGCTAGAAGATATTTCGGCTATTTCGTTTTCTTCAGTTGTTGATATAGATGTTGCACCGTCTAAAGTGCTGAAAGATTCGTCAAATATTGTGCTTTCTTCGGTTGTTGATGACGATATTGTCTTATCCGAAGAGCTAGAAGATTCTTCGACTGTTGTGCTTTCTTCGGTTGTTGATGACGATATTGTACCAGCTGAAGAACCAAAAGATTCTTCAGCTATTTGGTTTTCTTCAGTTGTCGATGAAGATGTTGCACCAACTGAAGAGCCAGAAGATTCGTCTACAATTGTGCTCTCTTCAGTTGTTGATGAAGATGTTGCACCATCTGAAGTGCTGAAAGATTCGTCGAATATTGTGCTTTCTTCGGTTGTTGATGACGATATTGTACCAGCTGAAGAGCTAAAAGATTCTTCAGCTATTTGGTTTTCTTCAGTTGTTGATGAAGTTGTTGCACCATCTGAAGTGCTGAAAGTTTCGTCGAATATTGTGCTTTCTTCAGTTGTTGATGACGATATTGTACCAGCTGAAGAGCTAGAAGCTTCGTCGACTGTTGTGCTTTCTTCGGTTGTTGATGACGATATTGTATCAGCTGAAGAGCTAGAAGATTCTTCGGCTATTTTGTTTTCTACAGTTG